AATATTTGCTCCTAAGTCTGTACATGCATAACTAGCATCGATGAGGAAAAGTCGATGAGTCGCCATGATGTAATGAAATGTTTTTCTAATTCTCCATATAATTCTCTGCCTCAGAAATAGACTGGTGTTCTATGGTGACCTGTCCCTTCGACTAGACCTGTCAGAATCTGGTCACCCACTTCAGCTGTCTGGGTAAGAACAACACTAGAATACATACTTATACATCACTGCTATAAGTACAGTACTACTGATGAAACCGCAGAGCCAAAGGCACATCGTCGCTCTCTTTATTCCTCTCTCTTTCCCCTTTTTTCTATCGGTAAGGCGCTAGGCTTGTGTGATTTGTTTGTTTGTTTATTTATTCGCAAATAATCAGTAAAATAGGATATGCAGGGGAAAAATAAGAAGCCATAATTGCTTGTCCGTGATCTTCCCCCCGACTAAATTAATTGACAACTGTAATAATGGTAACAAATCCAATTGTAATAACAAATAACGATAAGTAATTGAATAATTTGATCAATACGATAAGGTAACAAATCAAATAGTAACAATAAATAACAAGAATAATTCAAAACTTTATATTTAGTATATCGAAGTGGGACTTTCTCTTAAGATAAGATGCCAAATGTCGCGTCGGTGGGAAAGAAAAGTATGTGATTTTTAAGATTGCGTTTGAAGCTAATTATTTGAGCCTAAGTTCAATGGTAAGACTATTCATCAGAAGTTTGTAGTTAAAGTTAGCTTTACCCATAGAGGTCACGTATGGTGAAGAGATGTGTTTATCTTGTTTTAGCCCCGACTGTCCGGAAGTTGCAGCCCTACAAGTGCAGCAGCGCCTCCTGCCCTGCTGACATGTACTGCAAGGAGGAGAGCGGCGCCTTGTTCTCGTGCTGGGCTAACTAACCCACTGACGTCACACTTTTGTCTCCACCAGACTAACAACTCAGACAGGAAAATAGTCAAATTTAGGCAAATTGGGGAATGATTTTCTAGGTCAGGTTGGCCGCCATAGAGTTCATTTGTCCGAGTGGCAATGTTACCCTTACTGCGGGTTAACTCTCCTGGCTAAGTATTCACCCTATCTGTGCCGAATTTTACTATCCACAACCCCGTATGAAGGCCTAGTTTAGGCTGACCCGACTGGATTCGTGTGTTGTTTGAAAGTATGATTGGTTGAATATTGATTGACTAATATTGCTGGTGCGAACTTTCTGAAGTAAACTGCCCAACAGTTCTTAAGAGCGGAGTAAAATATAGTCCTAGAGTTGATTTCTATTTCATGTGTTGATTCTTCCACAGTGCACATTGTGCCGCACAGGTACCCAAAATCATGGATGTCTGCCTCCCAGTTCTAATTAGACGTGACAATAGGCAGTATGAAAATAAAGTTAAACCATTTTTATGCTTCAATGCCTTTGCAATGGTGATACCGTCAAGTATCAAAACTTTTTCTTCATAAATCGCTACACGATAGCGCTGAAGTACGCTGCTGTTGTAGATAAATTTATTAGCCATATTGAAAACAACACTGTGAAATGAATAGGAGCATATAAGCTGCAAGTAAGGATTACATTATATCTTATGGTTCAACAGTAAAATTCAGTTGTTTACAACTACATGGAAGCATTTTCAACATCGAGATGACAAACATGTAATCTGGTAATGACTAATGTTGTCAAACCGAATACTGTATTGTAACATCAAGATGTCACCCTATATGGATATCTACAATTATTAGTGATCATATTTACAGTAAAGAGCTTCACTATACAGGATTCAATCAGCCAATAAAAGAGTTTCAAAAATATTAGACCTGTTGTAATAGTCTTTAATGGTACTTTAGATGTTGTTTGAATGTTTTTTAGTCTTGACATTTAAAAATGTAGCACGTTAAATGTAGCACGTTAAAACATGGTGTGTGCCTAACAGGGTTACACATTTGTGGAGTCACATTAGTATCATAGCTAACCAATCAGGAATAGTGACATGTTGGAATGGACCGTCCCAGCTGCTGACTCAAGGTCCTACTTCAAGTCCTACTTCAAGGTCATATTGAAGGTCAAAGGTCACCAAAATGCAAAAAAATGCAAGTACTGACTGTTTCCAATATTCTCTCGCACCAAAAAAAAAACTTGTTTAATCTGGCTACTAGTATCGGTAGTCTATTCCACATAATATGGGAAGTCTATTAAAAGACAGAACTAAGTACATGTGTATACACCATAAATAAATGAGACTAGTAAAATGCCAAAATTGTGTAGCCTTAAGTAGGTGTTGATAACTCAACAATGTAGTAAGCATCATAAAGGCACTACTACTCGATTATTTCTATATTGACTTCCTAGCTATGTGCTTGTGGTGTTGTAATATGGATAGGTTTAGTGGTTTATGGAATAGGATTGGTATAACGACAGCGTTCGCAGTTTATTGTGACTTACGACCATTATTTTGCTCCAATCAGCATCTCGATATTTTGTGACCAATTCTTACATTGGCAGGTTAACATGGATACTTAGTAGTTAAATGTGACTTGCAACCAACATGCATATATCTAATCTGGCATTTTATAATAACCTGTAACTGATTATTGGAGTCGCGTGACAGCTGAACAATGGATCTAGGATTCATATTCATTATGTAATCAGATAATATTCTTCACACTTTTACCCTTAACTCGCAGAATTGTGTTAATTACATTATTAGCGGCATGAACCAAGTGAGAATTAACTGCACAGAGTCAACAGTGTACCTGGAGAAGACTGTTTGTACGGAGTTGGAGAGACAACTTTGCTTATCATAAAATGCGAAAACAAACGACAACAATGATGTGCCTGCCATCAACATATCGAGTCTGTCTCTTTTGAAAGTTGATTTGTTTTAGTAGAAATTCTTTTATCAGTGACTGTATTTGTAAGGTGAATTACGTACCTCCTAATTTTCGGAGTCGACTGGACACCTTGGTCACGGAATGACCTAGTCTCGCGAGAACACGAGTCTAGGCCGAGATCTTCTGGCCTCGCCCGCCTCCTTGCGGAGTAGGGGAATTGGGCAGGTCCCAACCTTCGTTACGATTCAACTTGGCCCGTTCCAACTGTGTTCTCGCGAGACTAGGTCATTCTTCCGTGACCAAGGTGTACAGTCGACACCGAAAATTTGAAGGTACGTAATCTACCTTACAAAAATACTGTCGCTATGCCACGCGCGACGGGATATTATGGTATCATGCAGGAATGTGAGTACAAAAAGGATGTTTTTGCTATAATCATGTCGAGTCTGTCCCTTTTAAAGTGTTGATTTGTTTGTGTTGAATCCTTCAGCGGCCTCAAAAATACACACTATGGTGCCTTGGGCCTCAGTTTGACACCTTCAACACACTACCTAAGGTGGCATGAACAGTGACATAGTTATCTGTCTGCCATGACAGTCCGACCAAAACAACACACCGTCTGACTTTTCTACTTTCTTTAAGCTGAAATCGTCCAACCTGTGCCCCCCTTTCCTCTATATTTAAGCATGCGAGAATTTTGCATTTCTGTTCTTACTAAATGTAGTACGGGTAGTTCAGTATTTACAAACATTCACGGACATACACACAACATCCTTTGTACGTACCGAGTTTAACACTTGTCGTCATGCACTGGTACCCTGTCCTGATCCAGCAGGAATGTGGATAGACAACCCGCGTACTGCCTGGCAAGTGGCGTTCAAAACTGGTTACTAGTTGAGGTCGACCACAAAAGGGTGTGCAGGTATGTCATGTTACTTTTTGAAATGCAGCTTAACAATAATGTCCTTAGGACTAGAATGAAGACCTACCCACCTACCAAGTATCTCCTTGGATGAACTTCAGGGATATTCTATCACATATGGAGGGCTCTGTGGAGGGCTGAACCCTACTGACCTTGTTTTCGTAAGAAAGGTCTCGAGCATTTGATATGTACCAATGTTGTGTCTAATTTTGCCTCTGAAAAGGCAAGAAAATGCGTCATTGAGGGTTTAAAAATACAAAATTTCCCTGGGCAGAATGTCCGGACCCCCCTACATTGACACCCTTCGACTCTAGCCAGACTCTGCAAACTCCTCTAAAGTTACGTTCTTCAAACCTTTGCTTATTTTTTGTCTCAATGTCAAAGGGCAATCAACTGTAGTGCCTCAGCACAAAAGGCACTTTTGCGCAAAGGCTGATGGGAAATGTTGGAAGGTGTAACGTTACAGGTAAATATGGCCTTAGAATAAGAAGTGACAAAGGCTATACGGAACGGTGTGAGGCCCGCCTTGTTTTGGAACGAAACAACGCGTATACGACTGTCCACCAAGGTAAGAGAAATACAAGTACGATCCTACGAACTTAACCTAAATGTAATTGTATTCTAGATAACACAAACTATACGTGTACGTGTTCATGCATGTGGTTCAGTGAACTTTGGTTAATGTCCAGGTAACAAATTCGACCGGTACTTTCGAAAAGTGTGAAAAATGAAAGTGATCGCGATTCAGTTTTAGCTCACTGAAAAGCTACTCTTCCACTCGTCTTGACAGGGAATATAGACGCCATGTACAAATATATACAGATTCACTGCACAGGGAACGTTCCCCTAGCTCTTTTCGACAGGCACAATGAACAGTGGACCACAACTTGTAATATATCATAACTATACATAGGTATAGGTAAAAGCACTGTAGGAAAACTCCTAATGCAACTAGACAACAAAACTCCTAATGTTCCTAATGCAACTAGACAAATCTTCCATCGGAAAACACATCTTTTCTATCAACTAAAAAGCGAGGAGAAGTTGAAATTATCCAATGATAGTTTTATTTTGTATCTGTTAACTGTATTTGTTTATTTTTTGTGACCTTAACTTAGCCCAGGGTAGCAAAAATGTGCAATAACGAATGAATGTCGTCACTCATCCATTATCAATATTGAGATCTTGTGGCTTTGTGCTAATTCGTATTCTCCTTAATTTACGTAGATTACGACGTCTTGATCCAGAATGGATACCAAGTGGAGAGGATTTGTGATACTTTTTCTCTTCACTGGAGTGACAGTTTATTACACCTTGGTAAGTTAACTTCAATTTACTAGTAGTAAATAATTAGTAATGTTCTTCTTCCTAACCGTGAATTTGTACAAATAACATAACGGGACGTTAGGAAAAAGAGAGGGGTGACCAGGACACACATGGTAGTTGTTAGTTGTTGCTAAGGACCGGACGCTAACCTTCTTCTGTTTTTGTAACATGGCATTTTTGGCTCTAACAACAGAACGACAGGCTTCACAAACTAGGTCCTTTCACAACATTGGGATCAACACAAGGATTCTTTAAAGGAGGACGACCACTACCTTCATTTAACAGACCAGCATTTACCAGTTGGGACCAACGTACTTGCAGCAAGCCAAGGCAGCAATTCGTCTTCATCAAAACACACAAGACAGGAAGTACGACCAGCGTCAATATTTTTCAAAGATATGTCATCTACCACAACGTGACTCCACTGATAGCAAAGGCGACGGGTTATGTGTCTTGGCCGTTCCCTCCGGCAGAGACAGACTATGTGCACACTCCCGGGGAACATTATGACGTCATGTTCGGTCACATGGTGTACAACAAAACATGGCTGCAGTCCAAGTTTCCCACCAACGCACCATACATCTGTAAGTATGCCTTTATTCTAATCGTGGAGACATGGGTGTAACACCCTGACATTACCTTTCAGTGGATTTAAGTAGCGTTCTGTTCTGCTCTGTTCTGTGATTAACTTGTTAGGCCGTGAGAGACATTCTTTGTCGACAAATGTACTGATTTTGTATTCACGCAAAAGCCACAGGAAGACTTTGATACCTTGATAGAAAATACAGAACATCAAATGGAAATTACCTACACAATACATTTCTATCTTTTAAACAAACTGCCATGTTACATCTTACGCTAGATCTAAAGTTATCGCTGTTAAACCCATTGAATGACCTTTCCTTTGATAGAATTGATATTCGGATCAGTAATTTTAGGTTCCACCCAAGAATACGTCACCTAATTTAGCCCCTAAAGCAGGGATCTAGGTGGAAAATCCACTTGCCCGAGTACATGGCAAAACGTGCAGCATTATAAACTCTAAAATAATTTCCTTGTTTGTAGTAAAAATGTATAATTTTTTAAATAAAAAGTCATGTATTTGTTTGGCAAGTGAAAGTTTGTTCGGGCAAGTACCACTTGCTACCACTTGCCCGAACCAACTTTCACTTGCCCAACAAATACATGACTTTTTATTTAAATTTTTTTTTATAATGCTGCACGTTTTATTTATCAACATAAGGCGGTTTGAGACTTGCAATGGGTTTTCTGACAAAACGGCAGTAATATAATATCATTATGGAAAAATGGTGAGTAATTTTGTTCCAAACACCATAGCGGCTATACTTCGCAGCCAAAACAATTACTTCAGGAGTCCCCTGGGCAATGGTGCAAAGACGGTGCGCCACTCCCAAAAATTGTAGCGCCACCGAAATTTTCAAATCAAGGGTCTTCTCTTCGTATTTTCGTGGATAAATAGGCATGCAAAAAACATTTTCGAAATCTTGACGCGAGTGGCGTCCATTTTCCCGTCGCCATTGTCTCTGAAACTTGTGAATGGGCGATAATCAAGTAAACAATGACCATTTCGCACGACGCTGACGAGAGAATCGCTCTCATTGGTGGAATATAAGGCACCCCGCTAGCGTTTTGAAGTTGTGTAAACAACGCTAATTGTCTGATTAGTTTGAAGCAAAGCCGTTGTCTCAAAAAATAATGTTATTTGTCACCGCCACATGCTGATGGTGCGATACGGTAGGGAATTTTCTACGGTTAGCTCGTAAACGTATCGGCTTTTAAACTTGTCCATGATGGCGGCATTTCCCATCCATGAAAATAATGTTTATTATTTATTTTTCGCCTGCTGTCGGTTTTCAAGTCCCAAAACGTCTGAAAAAGCAGAAATTTGCCCACAAAACCGGGGGGGGGGGGTGCCTGTAGCTTAAGGTAGCAGAACACGGTATTAATGCGGGGGTATAGAAAGTAGTGCAGAGAATGTTCTTGAAGGCTGGGTAGAAATCCTATGTATTAAGAGCGTCAGCCAGATGTAAATTGTGCTGTGTGGTGTAGGTATGTATCGGGTGTGAGACTGTATGATTTGAATTGTGAAGGTTTTGCGGTTCGTGTATAAGGTAGCAGAACACAGTTTTTCACCTATGGGGATTTCTATAGTTAAGGACCCGGAAGTGACTGACATCGACTCGAATAAAAATACAGTAGGGTACCATAGAAAATCACGAGAAACGAATATGTTCAAATATAGGGTACGATGTAAACAAAAAAAAAAAAGGTACAAAAAGTTATCGTTTTTTTGACATTATGCCGCCCTCTTTTAAATGGCCTCCTGCGGAGCGCACCGGAACTGCAGCCTACTCACCATGGCAGGCAGCGAAAAGGTCACGCGCATTTATACGCCGATCGATCAGCCTTCCTAATCTCAATTACGCGATATCAAAGCCGACATATTATGGTACCATACGGTAACTTGTATGTCCCGGTGTCATCCACGTTAGGCTGTGTACAAGCGGGGCAAGCTGTTTGTCGCACTCATTTCTTATCTCTACGTCATCGTCTCCGGGGGTCGCGGAGGAATACTGTGTTCTGCTACCATAAATGCGCCGAATTACGCAACTGGCTTTCCGGGTGAGTCCGCTGCAGTTCAGGTCCCGTCCGTAGAGGGCGATTTCAAAGTGTACGTTACGAGCAGATACGCCGAAAGGATTTTTTTTTTTGGTTTCTAGATATTTTGTAGTTTGTACCTTCTTCTCAAACATATTCGATTTTCGTATTTGTTAAGTGCACCCTACTATAATTTTACCGCGTCGATGTGAGTCATCTTGGGGTCCTTAACTATAGAAATCCCCATAGGGCGAAAACTGTGTTCTTCTACCTTAATCGACATAAAGCACATGGCGGCCGTCACAGGTGTTAGTTTTTAGGTCCCGAAACCCCTACAAAGTAGAAATTTGCCAACAAAACGGACGGCCGACGGGTGGAGAGGGCGCCTGCATGCAGCTGCATGACCCGTAACAAGTCAAAGGTCATAGGGCACGCGTATTGCGCAATTACTGTAAAGCGCCGATTTATCTAATATTAGGGTGTTTAAAATTGATACAATCACATTATTGATTTTTAGGAAAACAAAGGGATAGAAACTAATCAAAATTTTGTGCTGAATAATATTTTTTTCTTCAGAAGAGATATTCTTTAGAAGTTTTTTTTTCTTCAGATTTTCTTCAGAAGTGTTTTTTTCATCAGAATCCAGACTTTGACCAGACTAGACAATGCTCCATACCAACCAATTATTATGTTGAAATGGATGTGTATATTTTGTTGTAAATATACTCTTTAAATCCCTATATTTGTACTAAATTGGGCTTTATATTGATTTTCTATCTCTTTAGTTAGTCAGATTTTTAACTCAAGTTGCAGGAGAAGGCTACAAACTGCATTTCAGAAGAGCAAAATGCAACAGCTTCTCCCAATCGGGCAAGTACAGGCTAAGGGCATATTCACTTGCCCGAACAGCACTTTTACTTGCCCCGGGCAAGTGGGCAATAGGACTTGTCCAACCCTGTTTTTATTCGCTAATCATGCGCTGTTTTCTGATTTTATATCAGTTTTTTTTTTTTTATTGTGGTGGGTTTCTAGATGACTGTTAAAACTCCGGTACAATCAGGACAAGCGTACAATCAGAAAACAGCACAGGATAAGCCAAAGGGCCCGCCAAGAAGCCTGCCTACTAGGAAGGCTTCTTGGTGGATTACTTATTATCTAAAGTTGTATCAGATTGCTGTTTTTGTATTGTATATATTGTATCTTAAATATGATAAGATAAATAAATTTTTCTTGAAATGTTAAATATGACCTACTTCCGAGGACTTCTTCTTCTTCTTCCTCTGAGTGACCGCTATCGTCATGTCGATCATTCTGTCACTAGGGGAGAGGTCACCAGTCAAGAGTTCAAAACAATTTAGAGGCCCTTGCCACAAATGTTTCAGTATTTGTGGCCTCCACTGTAGACTGAGGTAGAGAGTTCCAATCTTTAACTGTCCGTGGCAGGAAAGATGCTGCTCTATACTGAGTCCTGCCCCAGAGTTGCTGGTCATGCCCCCGTCTCTCACGTCGTGGGGCAGGGTGGATTTTGCCCCTGAGCCCATCTGTACAGACCTTGTTGTGTTGAATTTTGTACAGCATGGCAAGCCGTGCAGTCTTCCGACGTGCTTGGAGACTGGGCCAGTTAAGTTCCTCTAGCATCTCTGTGGGGCTTGAGGTGTGCCTATACCGTCTTAACACAAAACGAGCTGCCCTCCGTTGAACTGCCTCTAGTCTGTCAATGTCTTGTTGGATATGAGGGTCCCATACAGTGGCCGCATATTCTAGTATGGGGCGTATGTAGGTCTTGTAGGCCATCTCTTTAATACCTCTAGAACTGATCTTCAAGTTTCTCTTCAAGAAACCCAAGGACTTGTTGGCTTTGTTGCATAAGTTGTTAATGTGTTCTTTCCAGGTAAGGTCTTTCGTGATGGTAACTCCTAAATACTTAACACTAGGGACCGTCTCCAAGGTATGTCCATGGAGTTGGTAGTCATGCTGGAAAACACTCCTACTCCGAGTCACACGAAGGGTCTGACACTTTCCAGGATGAAACATCATGTCCCACTTTTGCTCCCACTCAGCAAGTCGTTCCAGGTCACGTTGGAGCACTTCCTGGTCTTGAGTAGAAGTGATGGTGTTGTATGCGGCAGTATCATCAGCAAATAGGCGTGATGATGAGGTAAGGACTGACGGCAGATCATTGATGTAGATCAAAAATAACGAAGGCCCCAACACTGACCCTTGTGGGACTCCCGATTTCACACTAACAAAGTCGGAACGTTCACCATTGACTACCACCGCTTGGGTTCTGTCAGTGAGGAAAGCTGTAATCCATGCCCGGATTTCACCACGGATGCCGTAGTGGTGGAGTTTATGTTGTAACAGGCTGTGGTTGACCTTGTCGAAGGCCTTAGCAAAGTCCATCACTAGGACGTCCGTCTGGCGCCCACTCACCATGTTCTCAAACAGTTCTTCCGTAAATTCCAGGAGTTGTGACTCACAAGACCGTCCTCTTCTAAAACCGTGTTGCTGGTTACACAGAAAACCATGATGTTCTAGGTGATCCATCATAGTGCTGGTCAAGATGTGCTCCAGCACCTTACAACACACGCTCGTCAGTGACACTGGGCGGTAGTTTCCTGCATCATACTGTTCTCCTTTCTTAAACACTGGGGTAATGTGGGCTGTTTTCCAATCAGATGGTAAAGTTCCAGTTCTCACTGAAGATTGGAAAACAATGGTGAGCGGTACTGCAATCTCAGGTGCTAGCTCCTTGAAGACCCTCGGTGAAATGTTGTCTGGGCCAGGTGCTTTTGAAGGCTTAAGATTCAATAGTAACTTCTTAACCCCCTGGACTGAAATGTTGACCTTATCAAGAATAGGATAGTCCGCTGGTGGCATATTACACTTTTCCTGAAATTCTTCTGTAGAATAAATTTTGCCATCCCCAAACACTGAATGAAACTGCCTATTCAAAATGTCTGCTTGGCCCTTGGGATCGGATACAAGACGCCCTCCGTCCTTAAGGGCAGCAATGCCAACGTTGGACGATTTCTGATGCTTTATGTATGTCCAGAACTTCTTATTCCTGTCCAACTGCTCAAGGTTACTTTCTTCAAAGACACTATCCAGGTAGGACCAATAAGCTCTTCGCAGCTGTCGTTGTACTTCTCTGCGAAGTTTCTTATACTGGACCTTGAGGTCTTGTGTACCTTGCTTACGCATTTTCTTGAAGACACGGTCTCTTCTCTTAATAAGTCGGTGTAGGACTGGGGTTATCCAAGGCTTATTCTCCTTTGTCCGGGCCTGCTTGTGGGGGATGAACTCTTTGACAGCTGCCTGGACAGTGTCCTTGAAAGTGGACCACAGCTCTTCTGTTGATGCAGTGTCTTTCAAGAGTTGCATCCGTTCTGTAAGGTCTGCCATGGATTTCCTGATACCATCCCAATCTGCTTTCTTGTAAAGTGGTAGGAGTCTAGGAGCCTGCTTCCTCTTCTGGGGGTGGACAATCACTTCGCAGAAGACCCGGTAATACTTCTACCCGTGGTATCAACTGAGGGTTATTTGTAACAATCAAGTCCAATGTGTTCTCTCCCCTTGTGGGCCTGTCCACCATCTGCTCCAAGCCGTGATCACTAAGTATGTCAATAAACATGTTATGGAGACCGGGGTATCTGGGCTTTGGCTTCATCTGCATTGCTGACCAATCCCAGCAGGGCAAGTTCATATCCCCTCCAATCACAAGATGAGCATTGGGAATCTGTGCTGCTTTGCTGACTGAAATGTTGAACCCTTCCAGGCTAACTCGGTCTGACACATCGGGCCTGTAGTAGGCACAGACGTACAGGGACTTGCGGCCTTGCAGCTTTACTCTAACCCAGATTACTTCACAGCCATCCACCTGTAACTCTGGTACATCACTACTATTGAGCGTTGTGCGCACTGCCACAATTACTCCCCCACCATTCTTGTTACGATCCCTACGATATGCCCTGTATGTGTCCGGAAGTATCTCAGAATCATACACAGTAGCATCTAACCAAGTCTCAGTGGCAATGATAATGTCAGGTCTCACACTGTCAATCATGTTCAGGATGTCAGCTTTCTTTCCAGGTGATGACTGCAGGTTTAAGTTCACCAATCTAAGGGGCATTTTTATTTGTTTATCCTGTTGATTTATTCTTGTTGGAGTAGATGAGTGGAGTGGACGTTTCATTTGAAGCTCGGTAGGAGTCGAACAAGAATTTATGGAGGCATCTGAATGTGTCATCCCTGACTGTGATTCTTGCTCTACTCCATATAAGTCAAAAACTGTCTTACTGTTCGGGTTCCCACAGATGGCACAGTGCCAGGAGAAGTTGTCTCCGAGATCCTCATGGTGCTGGTAAAGTTCTGTATCCATGCTCTGGCAGTGGGCATGAAACCACTGTCCACAGGTGTCACAAGCCAGTCCTCTGTCATCCCAGCCCACTGTCCGGTCACAGGTTCCACACATCCAAGATGAGTGAGACTGGGAGCCAACAGGAGCTCCGTGTACAGCTTCCTCAGGGCCTGGGTTGGGTTCTGGTGCGTAGGAATTACTTAGTAAAATGCTGGCAAGATACAAGAGGACAAGTCGTTGTCTACAGAAGCTTGGGAGGGTAGCAGACTTCCGGGTCGACGAACGAGTGATGGACTCCACTAAGACACAGTATGAGACACCCATAGTACGGAACAAAGTCTTGTCAGAAAAACTAACTGTGTCCAAGATCACATCCTTGGGTGAAGTTGCATCAACTTTGAGGGTTTTGTAACTGAAGACGATGATAACGATCGCAGAGAGTGTAATGTTGGCTGAGAACATGTTTCAAACGCTCCACCGGAGGTTTTCCTCAAAAGTAGTCTCTAAATAAGAAAATTCCATATACTAGAGTCCAATTCAGGATGTCTCAGTCTTCTAGAGGTCACAAAACGAATAGTATAACAAAAGAAAACGTCTATAAACTCAAAAATAAAGATCATCCGAGTGGGAGGGGGGCGTCATGCCTTGACATCCAGTCTAACGATATCTCTTCCTAACTAATAAACAAAAATCAAAAATGGAAACAAAAAAGGACTCTAAACCCTATCTATTACTCATCTGGTACACATGATGGCCTCTGGAATCCTCCCCCGCTGAGGATTAGGATGGATTTAAATCCCCAGGGCTGGAGGACCCAAAAAGGCGGCCATCTTGGCTGGTGACCTCTGACCTCTCTGACAACCACATGAGAACCAAACAATTGGCCAAACTTTACAAACATGCAAATTTAAAGCACATATGATTATGTATCTGTTATTACATTTTGCAAGGAAAAAAAATCACCATCTTTGGAGTTACAGCGCTTCAAAAATGGGCAGAAATAGGGATATTTCAAAAGCCCAAACCCTGTATTGTATAGGAATGCCCAGACCTTTAAAACGGACCTCTTGAAAATTTTAAATCTATTTTAGAAAAGCAGATACGTTGGACATTTCAGCACAGTTTTTGTCTTTCCGATATATTCAAGCATTTGTTTGTAATCGCGTCCTAAACTTTGGCAATTTTCATGTTTCTGGCATGCCCACATCAGGGAAAATGGCCCCAAAACATGTTTGGGCTCTTACCATGGCAACGATCGGTGTGGAGCAGAGAGAAAGCTATTTTCAGGAGTTTTGGGCCAAGTACTATCACTGTGCAAAATATGAGCAAAATCGATTTTTTTATCCCTGCCACCATTGTTTGATCCTTACAGACATTTGCTCTTAATTTACATCATCAATATCTGCCTGTGTTTATTTCGTTTTCAGTCATATTTACCACAAGTTTGAATAGTCCTATCATTTAATCAAGCAGGTTGAATAACCTCCTTGATTTAATGCAACTGATGTATAGAATATCCCAATAAACTTGCAGATTACATACCTCCTGGTCCGAGCCGAACGCTCTTTCTTAACGCCATACGGCACAATGTGACTTGGTGTAGACCAATTATTTTAAAACAATGTTAAGGCATTGTTCAAGATTGTTTTTTCTTGCCTGAAATATAGCTCTCATTCGAGAACCTTTAAGTCACCTGAAGTCGTGCATGAGCTTCTACAGTCTTCCTAAGCTACTAAAGATCACTTCTACAAACCCCATCAAGACCTTCCTGCAAAACCCGTGGAAGTACAAAAACCTGTCTGAGGCCTACTTCAGCTTCTGTAAGGTGACCTGGGACGGCACCAGAAACCACTTGGCTTTCGACTTGGGCTACCCTACTGAGGGAGCCGATGATATGGTAACGTATCGTGAATTATTGTCATAAGAATGTCATAACGGTTTAAAATCTTCGTTCCAACATTGAATATAACTTATTTTGTTAACATCAATAAACATCAATTAGTTTCATACCTCAATGTCAGTACATGAAATACAGCAAGATACAGATTTTGCATTATAGAATGGATGAAACGTCGTTACCATACTTTTATGCTCTCACAAGCTAAGTACAGGTTGAAAGTAGAAATGAAATATAATGATAATAAATAACTGCTGTATGATAAATAAAATATACAGATATATGTTACTACATGCATCAACTGCTATGTTTAGTTTTAACTTCTTCTCGCCTCTTATTACCTCTGTAGATACATGCTATCTAATTATGAATGTTTAAAACTGGGAAACTGATCCATATATACAGGATATTTCTCTCTTGTCTGTATAATGCACAGTCAACAACAAAATGACATTCTCCCTCAATTTATCTGAATTACAGATTCCTTTTTTGTCGAGGAATTTAGTAATGTCAGCCTTTAAATATGGGGTTTGTAACTTCGACTTTTTTTGGAGAATGTTTTTCAATGGGAATGAATGTGGCCTTAAACATAAAAATACCAAAAAAAAACATAAAGGACAAAAAAATAGTGATGACCCTCGACCCAACATCTACGTATGTATATCTGATGAAATATTTCTTTTTTCTCTACTTCTTATAAATTCTAAACAGGAAGCAGCTGAAAGATACATCAAAGAATTAGAATACGACATGACGCTAGTGTTGTTGCTGGAGCACCTTGACGAGTCTCTGGTTCTCCTAAGACGTCTCATGTGTTGGGAGATGCAAGACGTCTTGTACGACACCGCGCCGAAGAACGTCAAGAATTACTCCTATAAGTCCTACAACCCCACCCCGGAGGAGCTTGCCAACCTCCGGAGGTGGAAGGCTGTGGATTACCGTCTGTACGACACGTTTAACAGGTCCTTGTGGAGGAAGATAGCAGGACAGGTAAGGGAACAACAACATACCGGGTCAGTCTCAACCAGACTCCTTAAAAATCGGTCTAAACAGAGAAATGTAACTGGCCAGGGGGGGTAGCCGGTCATAGGAGGTCCAATTTGCCTACATGGCCGGCTACCTCCCCTGGCCAGTTACATTTCTCAGTTTAGGCCGATTTATACTATTTATCCAGCCTGCAAAGGAGTCTGGTGGAGATTAATACCGGATATATATATAGTGGATCTGTGGATGAGGAAATGCATTTTATCTGACAGTTCCCTCAATACGAGTTTGAAAAAAAATGTGCATGTGTTACAAAAAAAGAGATGAACATTACAGCAAAATTGTTGCTTTTACTTCCAGAAATAAGGAATTGGTTGTCGCAATAATAAATCGGAAATTCAATACTTTCATAAAGTGTTTTGGGGTTTTGTTATTATTGGATTGTATGATGTAATTACCTTCATGAAAAATGGAGGTATTGTTTTTGGCGTGTCTGTCTGTCTGTCTGTAAATGAATGAATGAATGAATGAATGGATGTGTGTGTGTGTGTGTGTGTGTGTGTGTGTTTCTGTTTCCGCACATTTGTAGTCAGCATAACTTCATAACGCCTTTCTGAATTGTGATGATTTTTGGTTTGCTGGTAGATTTTAGGAAGACGATGGTCAAGGTCAAGTATGGGCCTGCTGGTGGATGACCTTGGTACTGTAGCAGAACTTCCGTTTTTTTCTATCTTTTGTTCTGAACATGATATGGTCTTGACTTTTTGGTATCAAATAGCTTGTCCTGTCAGGAATGAGTGGTAGGAATTTAGTTTCCCTAACAGCTTATTCTGGAACTGCTGGGGACTTTCTGGCAAAATGTTTAAAAGCCAATAGTCCAGATAGGAACAACGTATTTTCATCCTTTTTGGTGTGTAGGTAGCTGAGAGAGATTTGTACATAATTAAATTCAAATCATGCAAATGAGTACTTAATTTGCATAATTAGTGAGGAAATTCTTTGATTACAGTGTTTAATGTAATAGTACTTTATACATGTATTTAATCTGTGGCAGGCGAAAAATCAACAGATACCAATTATGCAAATGACGACCTAATATGCATAATAAATGTAAAATTCTGTGACGCCTTATTGGTGAATGATCGGAATTTTATACCTTGTGACATGTGTAAGTTTCTTAAAGGTTAACACCACTATGCATGTTATGTTAATGTTGGGTAATTTGCATAACTAATGAGGACATGTTGAAATAAAGTATGACAAACGAATTTCAAACGAACTAGATTATGCTAATGACCTTATTTTCATTGTCACTGAGACAATGAGACAAAAACATTTAAAAAGACTTATATATTTCATGGAGGTATGAAATCTCAGAATTCTTGTCTAATTGTGTATTACACCACTTCTGTTCTCGATCAATCAATCTATCGTTTAATTAATCAATCAATCAATCGATTGATCAATCAATAGTATTGTCAAATAAACTTGGACATGACACAGTCCAACTCATAAGTCAGCCACCCAAAACGATACTCTAATACCCGGAAGTAATTATGCCTTATTGTCTTTCTCGTGAATCATTTCTCGACCACCCAGGGACCAGATTTCTACCGTGAGCTCCACCACTACCGGGAACTGAAACAGAACATCAGCTGGTTCTGCCATGGAGAGCAACACAGGAAATCTAACCTCACACTCACTGTGAAAACTTCCCAGTGGAGTCCGCAGTTTGTCGTTGATGCCAGATATTGCAAGGAAATAGCTACAACGGTACGTACAATTTTCATAATTTTGGACTAGGTGCACTTATATGTTACATAAAGGTGGTGCATAGAAAAAATATAAAGTAAAGTAGAATTTCAACAAAGCATATCTATTAATCTTGAATCTAAAAGCCTATTGCTAGCCAGACATTTTAACCAATGGACAAAAGTAAGGTTTTAATGTGTTCTTTGTATGTGCAGATGGGGCTAGGTAAAGGTAAAAGTCAGGGAATTGCTGTATACAAGTGCACAATAGTTCCTTTACGTACGTAATCTTATACAAATATCTTGGTGCACAGATGCACTAACTAATAGTCAAAATTTAGGTGCACAGCTACAATTTTAGGTGCAGAAATGTGCATATGAACGCAGTATTTCCAGCACTGCAATAAAAACAACATTTCTTTAATTTTTTGGCTTAATACATGAAGGAATTGTGTTTGGTCTGTCTGATTGTTTTTGTGTCTGTCCGTCTGCGTGTATTTTTTTCCGCATATTGGTGGAAAGCCTGCATGGGTTGTAATGATACTCACAGGAAGTCTTGAGAAGACGAAGGCCGTGGTCAAAGGCCTCCTGGCGGATGTGATACGTACTGCAGCAGACATTGCGGTATAAAAGTAGAATGGTTAAAGTCTTCCGTTTGCATTTGTGGCGGATCTACGGTGGCCAATTGTCAGTGGCCAATTTGACAGTGCCTTCTAGTTTGGTTTCAGCTTTGCCACCAAAAGACTTGTTTGGACATTAATTGTTTTACTGTACTACAAAACCACCGCAAATTATTGTTTATTTACCCACCGTACAAAAGTTCAGTCCTCGAAAAAATACAAATCAACCTTTCTTCTTTTTCTTTTTGCAGTCATTGGACATGATGAGGGAAATACGACAGAAGGAATCATTTAAAGTGGACAAACGGTGGGAAATCGTCTTGCCGGTTATAAACGTACTTTCAATCATCGAAGGACGGCCAACCTTCAAATACAAGATTGAACGGATGGAATATCAGAAAGAATTGCGTAGGAAAATACCAAAACGAAAGACACATAAGAAGAAAAGAAATCATGGATAGACATATTAGGTAGATCGCTACGTCCTAGTTTGTCTTTATTTATCTAAAGATATTTTATTAGATGTTGAAAATTGATTGTATGCGATTTAAACCTCATCTATCTACCTTAAGTAGCTTAGTGTCCATTATCCTTTAGAGCTACGGCTACGGCTATTTAGACAGCCCTGGTTACTACTTCTGCTCCGAATGGAGTCCGCCCAGACCACAAAAGACACTGGACTGAGATCCTTGCGATTGCACCCCTGGCTGTGAAAAGAGAATAGCCAGTCCCACCTATAAGAATGGAAACAAAAGTCCGTATGACTCAAATCTCTGTAAAGTAATCATTGTGTTTGTGGTTCCTAAAAGATAATGTACACGTGAATTAGATTTACGAGGAAATGGCGGCGTATGTAGCTTTGTTAGCGCGTACTTAACGTTATATCTGTCTCAAAATATTTGAATGCAAGAATGCAAGCATCCTAGAAGACCTACAGAAAGCAGATGTTGTCTTCTCAGTCGGCCATTGATGCACGACGACTACACACATGAGCTAAAGCAAGGAAAACTACAGCAGCTCGAGTTCTTGCCTAAGCCGTCTGGCATCTTCATCGAGGCGAATATGGAACCACCTAAAGAAGCCAACACAAGATACAGAGTGATTCTGTCGATCGGCAGGGTCAAGGGTATTTAAAGGCTACGATCTTTCAGCGCTGGCAGTGAGAGATGTGATCAACGAACTACCCAACACAAAGTGACGACTCTGCGGTATCAAGAAAGAGGACTTTAAAGTAACCCAGGAGATCATCAACTCTTTGAGTACTGCACACAGAAAGAGCTGTGCAAAAAAATGGGAAGGGCGGATGTCGTCCTGATGCCGTCAAGCTCAGAGCCATTCGGACTGGTTGGTCTGGAGGCCATCGCTGCAGGTGTCCCCACGGTTATCTCCAGCAAGTCTGGGCTTGCAGAGTTCTTGAATGCCCGACACGACATCGAGCTTGATGAGAACTCCAAGCGCCCGATTGTAGAGTTCAGTGGCAATGACGAAGAGGATGCAGCCAGACTGGCTTCGCGCATTAAGGAGATACTGAAGAGGAGAGGCCCGGCTGCTAAACGGCTCAAGCAGAAACTTAAGAATTCCGAATACTAGGCTGAGTCACAAAGGAGGATTTTGGAAGCATTTGGACTTAAAAAGTAATCTGCAGTCGTGCGAAGGCAATTTGCCACACTTTACATAGTTCATCGAGACTATAATTGGCAATGTTATGAGGTGGTGGAACAGGTAGTATATAGAGTCCTACTACGTATCTCCTGGTGAAGATTTGAGTATTAGGTGTTCTTTGTAGTAAGTCTTCTAGTATAGCAATTTGTAAGGGAGGTTTAAGTACATAGCATTCAATTATATCTGATAACCATTTCAAACATTTATGTTTTGTAAAAGGAGTGGTTTTGAATTAGTGGTTTGAAGTAGAATAAAAAGAATTTCCATCACCCCAAATCAATACCCTAGTCTCCGTTCCACTGTAAGATTGCCATATTATATATCGTACCTAAGAGGTACTTCACCTTTCTTCCAAGTTAATATTTCAATGCCAGGAAACAAACCCATGTTGGTCTGCCACATACAGTTACCTTCACATTACTAACTTCTATATTCACCTTCCTTTACTCCATTCTTGTTTCATTATATCGGACTCCCCATCCTGAATCACAGCTTCCGTGGCCTAACTTCTTTCTTTCCAGGCCCTTTTCCCCTCATACCGGACTCCCAGTCCAACTTCACAAAATTTCCGTGGCCTAATTCCTTCCTTTATACACCATCCATGCTACTTATAAGATTTGACTCCAAGTCCTCCATTACACATCCTATTTCTTCAATTCTTAACATGTTAATCCGGCAACATTCCTTCCGTCCTTATTCTGTTAATCTAGTTAAAATCCCAACCTAACATGTCGGGGCAAACATTGATAAAGAGGAAAACACATAGAAGCTACACATCAATCCTCACAGATAGAATGATCCTACCTAGATAAAAAAAAAATCCTTCACCTGCTGCCAGTGGTTTCCTTGGGAGTGAGGGGCAGCGGCTTGGTCCTGGACTGGTACGGCCTATGGAGCAACTTGTGGTGCTTGAGGCTGTTTAATGAAGTAGAGTAAGTTATATGCCACCCCCTTTGTCTACCCCGATCGTCACACACCGACGTTACCTACACTGCCAATGATACACAATGCTTAACACAAATTCAAACCCAATACAAACATCCACATAATCTACCTGTAGCGCCCGCGGGTTAGCCTGACCCTGTCGCAATCCTACACGCTGCCGTGCCGCCTGCACCCCGAGGGCGGAGGTGCGCCGTCGTGTCTTCTTGGTCTCTGCGCCATCCTCTATCCAGTAACACCCCGCTCCGGTTATGCACTCTTGGTCTGCAGGTCTACCTCGTGGTTCTCTCTGGCCGTGTCTATACGGAATCACCCAAACCGCGATTCGGGTAACTCACATTCCTCACATCTGGTCTACGTGCCACACACACCTGCAAAACCGTGTCCGAACATAATGCCCTTGAGCTACATTTATTGCTGTTTGATGATAACACGCAAGGCGGCGTGTTATTTATGTCAGAGGTCAACGACCTGCTTGCTGATGCCCCCCTCCCAGCGTATCTCGGCCGAATGCCGACGTGGTCCCGCCAGAGGCGGTGAAGCTCTCCCTAGAACGGACACATTATTTGACCATTACTGCTCTTTAAGTTGCTGCCACGTAAACGTTGGTATTTCATATAAAAAAAAAGAAATATCACTCCGTAATCCATGACCATGCGAAGTCACATTGAAATCACATTGCGTTCAGACGCAAATCGCGATGCGGGAAAACCGATTCGAAACCACCTCTAGAAGTGGCTTGGGATCGAGGCGCTTTCAATGTGATTTCGGAGCGTTCAGACGGAGCCACGTGAAACCGGCTTCGGGGTAAACCACATGTAAACCGCCTTGGGTGATTCCGTTTAGACACGGCTTCTGTCTTCTATCTCCACCTGCCCATGAGCTCATTACTATACACCACCTGTCTATTTCACCTGCCTTAGGTTAATCTATTTGCGCTCCCTTACATTCCACGAGGGATTACTTTATTAACATTTTTTAGGATGTTCTTGGTCTCGCGGTAAAAAAACGAGGAAAAAAAATCATGCTTACAGGGATCATTACTTGGATAGTCTCCGTGTATCCAAGAATGTACGTTTGCACCAGAATCGGTTCTGGATACGCCTGGACTTTGAACTTTGGAGTCCTGACGTCCGTGTGTCAGCAGCTGGGACGGTCCATTCTATTACGACTTCTCATGATTGGTTGGCTTATTTCAAAACATACTGATGTGTCTCCACCAATGTATAAACCTAGAGGGCACACACCATGTTTTCAAGTGGTACAGTTCCTTTGAAAAAATTCTTATGGACTAAAAATCATCCATACAATCTTTTCTAGACCTGCTTCCAACAGTCTTACGTCTAAAGTACAATTAAAACGATCACAACAAGACTTAATAGTTTGCAACTCTTTAATTGGCTAATTGAATCCTCTACTGTGAAGTTCGGTAAAGTAAACATGTTTACCGATTGTAAATATCCACACCTGCATGTTACATAACTGTAGCTCTACTGAATTCCTTTTGGTTGTATGAAAATATTAACAAAATTATTTGCAAATCATCTAGATATTAAAAATACATCTAATATAGTTGTAACTCACTAAATTTTACTATTGAAATTGAGATATAATTTAATCCGTACTCGCGGCTGTTTTATTTAATCAACCTGGCCATCTAAATTTGTCTACAGAACTGTCGGTTAGCGATGTATTAAGTTAAATGTTTGATACTGCTGGACTGCATCACAATGGCAATGATATTGGAGCTTCAATCTTGTTTTGTATTTTTTGTCATCCTGCCCTGCATATTTTCACATCTAATTAAGACTTAGATGCAAACACCCATGATATAGGTACGACAAAATCACTGTGTGGTCTGTAAAATCATGTCCACTGTGGAAGAATCAACACTAGGAATAGAAATGAACTTTAAGTCTATATTTTACTCTGCGCTAAAGAATCACTGAGCCATTTACTTATGGAACTTCACTTTAGCAAAACTAATCAATCATTTTTAACCAACCATAGTTAAAGTTTCAAACATCACACAAATCCAGTCGAGCCAGCCTAAATTGGGCGTTCGTAAGGGGTAAAAGATAGTAAAATTAGGCACAAATAGGGTCAATATTTAGCCAGGAGAGTGAATCCGCAGTAAGGGTACATTTCCTCTTGGGCAAATGAACTTAAGGTGGCCAAACTCACCTAACAAATTATTCTCCCTATTTGGCTAAACTTTATTATTTTCATATCTGACTCCGAGTCGTTAGTTTGTTGGAGACAAAAGTGTGACGTCAGCGGGTTATTTAGCCCAGCACGAGAACGAGGCATCGCCCTCCTCCTTGCAGTACATGTCAGCAGGACAGGAGGCGCTGCTGCACTTGTAGGGCTGCAACTTGCGGACGGTCGGGGCTGGAACAAGACAGACACATGTATTCACATTACGTACATGACGTCTATGAGTAAAGTTAATATATTTTGTGATGAGCAACCTTCCCATTGAACTTGGACGTCAAAGGTTTAAATCACCTAAGCCTAGCACTTTCCTATCTTACATGCTTCTGGCATGGTTTGAAGTCAAAAAGTCCATAATATTTATAATATTTCAAAGAATTAAAAAAAAATTGGGATTCTTTTAGGTTTGTCAAAACCCGATCAATAACTTCGTCATTTGTCTGAGAACTAGATCGAGCAGTATATATCTATATATCTAAATATCTATATCAATCTATATTTATCTAAATATTTTATCTAACTATCTACCAACATCAACATCTATTTCTAGTGTGTGTGTGTGTGTGTGTGTGTGTGTGTGTGTGTGTGTGTTTAGTGCTATTCTTACCCAGACAGCTGAAGTGGGTGACCAGATTCTGACAGGTCCAGTCGAAAGGACAGGTCACCATAGAACACCAGTCTATTTCTGAGGCAGGGAGATTTGAGGGATTAGGCTTCAATGGCATTAAATATTCAAATGATAAGTGAAGTCCCCAAGACAGAAGGACTAAGGACTAAGTCCTTATATAGTAAGATTCCTACTTATGTTAAAGTCCAAAAAATTTGGACCTTTAATTCTAGTTATATACACTAAGAACACAGACAGGCAAATATTTACCATTTTGACAGTTGTCTCCGTCGTACCCGGTTGGGCATCGGCAGCTGTAAGAGTTGACTTGATCCTGGCAGGTTCCGCCTTGCTGACAAGGGTTGGACGCGCACTCGTCAGTGTCTGGTTAACAATAAAAAAAGGTTATATCAGGGAGGTTGTGAGTGCAAAGAAATGAGGGCTCTGAAATTAGATTGAATCCCACTTCTGACACCATTTGGCACCTCTGAATGCACGAGTTAATGAAAACAGTCCATATGACATTGCTTGGGTATTCTAGAATTCATTAGTAGAGGCTAGAGGCAGTAGGAGAATAACATCTAGTGGACAGTCTTGGGTACAGAATATTTTCCATACATCCTTAATGACATATTGGATAGATGCTCGCAGCTCTTTCACGTTCCGATGTTTTTTTCCCTTTCTGTTACTCTTCTATCAGATAGAATATTTAATCAATTAAGCATATCTTAAAAGACAACGACATCCAGGATTGCCGTTAGATACTTGATTGTAAGAGACTTCCTCACCGGTTTCACAGAGGAGTCCCTCGAACCCGTTCAGACAGTTACAGAAGATGATAGACTCTCCGAAGCAGGAGGTGCAGTTTCCACCGTTTTGGCACACGTTAGGCTCACACGGTTTAAGCGCTGCAAGGAAAAAAAAGTATGACAAATATGGCTTCTGCAATTGGGAAATGTTGCATCAACTAATCAACCATAAACACCGTTGTGGGTTCCATCAACAATAACGGCCTGCCGTCCTTCAAAGTCAGAGTCCACCGACATCTCCTTTATTGTAATTGAGAACACGTGGCAGCTGTGATCCATTGATTACTCAATAAATTGTTTCTTACATGTATGCACAATCAAGTGGGTATTGCTCACCATAGCATATTATGCAAACAAAAACGTCAATACTAAAGCATGGCTGCTTCCGGATGTTCTTTTTTTCAGCAAAAAGATTTTCAGTGGACCTAAGTGGACCTTCTAAGTTCTAAAACATCGTCCTTAAGTTAATCACAAACAAACAAACACACACACACACACACACACACACACGCACACACACATCTTGTTTGATGTTGCTGGTACTTCCCAGTGGGTTCAGCAGTTGAACACCACCCGTCATGGGGAATTTTGGCCGTTAAAAGTTTATTGTATTCATTTTTGGATGATCTATAGGGTGCTGCTGATGTAACCGAATCACTTCATGGGAAGGCTTTATGTTTTAAATACTGAAAAAAAAGGAGGAAATGCCTGAATCAGTAAATGTTCTGTACCGGACATGCAGACGTAGTTGTGCTGCTCCGTGCAGAACGCTTTGTTCGCCTTGTAGTTGTCGGAGCTGTCCATGAAAACACACAGGTCCAACGGGGACGAGACTTCGTCTACTGACCACTGCAGGGGGGCTGTTTAGGAAAAATAATGATGAAAAAATTAGATATTTAAGCTAAGCACCTTGCCAGATACAATAAGAGGTACATATCTTTAACGCAATATTTGAGTTAAGGTAAGCAAATATTTTTTGAAATGATTTCGTCGACGAATTTGTGAAGTTATTAATAACGGTTAGAGGTCTTATTACCAAGACACAGTATTAGAAATAAAGCCAAGGATCCCATATGTAAAGATTATCTGATCCTCGAGCTTATTCTGCGTTGCCCAGTATATGCAAAGTATCAGTTTGACACCAAAGTCTGTATAATACCTAAAACAGGAGAGCCATCACTGTAGAAGACAGGTAGCGGAGCGGTTTTCATGGCCAGCCAGTTGGAGACGCCGGTGGTGTTCGCGATGATGTTCGCCAGGAACTGTTGCTGCTGCGGGTCTCTCAGGTCCACCATGCGGCCGCTGCTGGCACTGCAGGCCTGGGTGGCGTCTCGATGGGTGACAGCTGAGGTCGAGAACTGATAGCAATCCCCGGCAAAGAATGCTGGGTACAGAAATAATATGACCAACACGATATGACTGATACAAAAGTGAATTTACCAACAGAAGAGATATATAAAGCCTGTTACTTGCTAAGTAAGGGTGACTGTTGTAACGTGGAATAATCAAATTTCAGCTCACTTTGAACGCATTGCGTAAAGATGTTTATATGCTTTAAAATGTTCATACAAGCTTTACCGAAACAAAGCTATCACCGTATTGTATTAGAGCTATTTACGGACTTGCAACGATGCAAGAGATGGATAAAAAGCTTGATTTCCCTTCAAATATTGCATTAGAAGTCCTACCAGTTTCACAGTTCTTTCCGGTGGCATCTTTAGGGCAAACACAGCGGTAGCCGTTCACGTGATCCAGGCATGTTCCTCCCAGCCAGCAAGGATTGCTCGCGCACTCGTCAATGTCTGAAACATAAACAAACTCTTTTACTCTATTTTTCTATGAACTCATTCAATGTTTTGAGTATTTTTTTTCAGTTAGGTTCTGGTAGAGTTATTTATTAACCGTGAGTACTAACCTTGATCGCAGTTGTTCCCTGTCCAGCCGTTCTCACAGCTACAGGTGTAACTCGCATCGCCGTCAGTACAGGTTCCGTGTGCACATGGGGAGGACGCACAGTCGTCGACTGAAAGAAATTTAATGCAACAAATCACAGAAATACAGCCAGCTTCTGTTCAATGTCAATTACAGAACACGATGATTGTATGTCAATGAAACGATCGTACTAACTTTGATCACAGTTGTTCCCTGTCCAACCGTTCTCACAGCTACAGGTGTAACTCGCCACGCCGTCAGTACAGGTACCATTTGCACATGGGGAGGACGCACAGTCATCGACGTCTGATAATATAAAACTTAATTTTAACTGAAATAAAATCAGAATACAACAACAAAGCCTTTGGTACTTCATCATTTAGTTACTCCGAAACCTGGTGAAAATGTACAACACCCTCATTTTGTATTCATTTGATAGGTAGCGTTTTATTTCTCCCTGGACCGTATTATCTAATAAACATTACTTTTGCAAAATGTAATATCTTCTTTGTTACAATGAAACAATTAAATACTAATCTAGGTCACAGTTGCGTCATTTGTTTAATTCAAAACCATTGTCATATAATGTGTATTATAATGCAAGATCACAATCACACACATTGAGAGGCTAAATTCAGGCTTTAAAAACTTTGAAACGGTTAATCATCATTATATTAGTTTTTCGTTGTTGTTTTGTATTATTTTTGGAATCCAGGAAGATTAGTTGCAAAAATATTGTGCAACTAATGTATATTCCAATAAAGTATTTAAGTATCAAGAGCCCATGTTATATATTTAGTATTAGAAGTCCTCTCAATATATGTTTTTTTGCTACTACATGTTATACTTTCCTAGAAAGTAAGACGGAAAAAAAATGAATTCCTTTGTGATGTTTTACCATATGGAAGTTGCAGTCTCACCTGCACACAGGGCGTACTTGTTGTTGTAGTGCGCTCCATTCGCTGAATCTGTGCCGTAGCTGTGAGTGTCGTAGTCCACTCCCCAGGCGTCGCCATTAACCCAGTTAGGGCGATACACAAAGGTGTCATCAAGGGGCTGGCAGTACCGAGGGTCAGTATCACCACAAAGTTTGCCAGAGAGGATCCATTGGGTACGGCAGTTGACGTCGATACCCGCACCGTCAAACGTGATGCAGTCTGAGGTCCAGTGGGTGGTACACGGACCACTACCTGACTGATAGCACGGATATCTCATCCCCACCGACGTGCAGGTGGTTTTTGCGTTGGTTCCGGTCATGGTTCCGAACGCGCGAACCTTATAAAAGGCCCAAGTGTCATGGGTGGCCAGGTACACCTGTTCACCTGAAGAAGTTACAAAAAGTTGTTGATCACCAGTTCTTAGATTTTTCACATATTTCAAAAGTACTGTAATGTATTTTGATGATAGAATATTTCTATGACAAAAGCGCCTACAGTTAATTTATATAACCTAGTCCACCATGTAAGTCAACAAAAGGTAGATACCAAGTGAGCTTGATAAAAAAATCATAGACTGCACTTATATCTCCTTTATCATGTATGTATCAAGGGTGCTGTATGTATCATCGTTATACGTTATATATAGTAATGGCGCCTAAAGGGAATCAACGCCGAAGATAAGAACACGTGTACACACCTATTGACATTATCCACCGGGTCACACATATCCTCCACCCTTATAAAATGTGTCTAAAGAGACCTCAAATGTAACGACCTCCAGTAAAACACACCCTTGCATACGTATCTAAACTGTGCACATCTGATGTGATGTATTTCTCAAACGCACCGTTTTTAAAGTGGTTATTTGTAACCCAGAGGATAAATGTTAATGACAGTGGCGTACATATTCACGGCTTACATCTCCTGCATGGATATTACCGTCAAGCATGACAAATAGATCTTGCGCAAATAAAGTTATTTCATTAACCACAGTTTGTTGTATCTATGTTTACAGGAAAGGAATAACCATACAAAACCCCAATCTCGCTCTCACTCTCCCTAATTGATTAGATAATAACGCAAACCTTGTGCCGAGGCCGTCCAGGCGACAACAGCCGCGATCAACAGCAGGAATCCTGACATCCTTACCGTCCGTAGAACAGAGCTAGACTGTGGTACGTGTTGGGTTCGCTCTGAGCTGTAAGAATCTTTAGACACGAAGATACAAAGCGCTGATTGTTACTGGACTGAATAGGGAGTCATCAAGACAGCATCACACCCTTAACTCCAGCGATATTTGACCCACTTTTTCCAATTAAAATGTACTCTGGCTTCATGATTATGTCATTAAGCTAACCTGGTAACGGACAGTGTTTTGTGGACGGCTTAGTTGAATGAGCTGAGACCATAGCAACGGCAGCCTGGTTGATGTCAGCAATATCTTCTTTAGACCTCTTGCACACACAAAAGATATTCGTATATTCAACATCTGGACAATTAAAAGATCGTTCCTGCCACTAGATAAGCCAAGAACTATTTTTTCTCAATCTTAACAAACTTGTTTCCTTAACACAGGAAATCAGAAAAGATCATTTAAAGATGCGTCACATGCACACTTTTGTAACCATTGGCACATTACGTGTATAACGTATAGAGAACATGCAGTAGTAATACTACGTGCCGTACTATATATGGCACACTGGGGGCTTCAAACTTTTCCATTCAAACGTGTTCATTTGCCAATCATTTGCACGAACCATAATGGGCACTGTTCATTGGATAAATGGGGGCGGACGACCTGACTGTCAGTTGACATTTAATAAGGAACGGGGTGCAGAGGGTTGTGTAATATTGTGTACGTGACAGCATTGACCTGTGCAAGAAAGTCCTAATAAATATAGAGGAAAGCGACTCTTTTTACACAACCATGTATTTTATTCAGCCGACGTTTCGGTGACCGTCTGTCACCTTCCTCATGGCAATTCTGACTGGTTCACATTGCACTGCAACACTGTCACCAAAATGTCTGCTGAATAAAAGACTTTATTGTGTAGAAACAAACAGTCTCTTCACTAAGTGACTTACCAACCTGATGAAACTATTCACGAAGTCCGAAACAAAGATTTTGTGTTGATGCCATCATAGAAGCAGTGGATGTCTGTTACAGTTCGGTAAGTCGCCTGTCGTAGACTGTCATGGAACCTACTGTTGCCAGGGGATTCTTCTGTTGGTTCTTTGGACATTTCCGACAATCCCGAGTCAGAAAACACGTGCAAATGAAGACTAACTGGTGAGGAACCAGAACAATGGAGCTCACGTAGTCCAAGATAAGGCGTTGCCGCCAGAATTCAAAATTTGTATAAAAAATGATGTTTGAAAGGGCCAGAACATAACTTGTTGGCTCTAGAAAAAAATGTCTAAAATATGCGATCCGCGTCTGAGATTGATGTCGAATGGGTGGACAGAGTTTGGAAGTGATTGCTCAGGATATGCGACTTGCCCAGACTTTAGAAGCAATATGCCATGAATGATCTACAGATATCCGGGAATTATATCACCATAAAAGTAGCACTGTCCTTCCAACCAGTGCTTTGATATAGACTTTGATCATGTTCGAAACAATGCAACGTTGCATAATGCTTTAATCAGCATATTTCCTACAATCTCAATTTCGTTGTCTAAGAAATCATAGCTGCAGCTGGACATGTAGTTAGTGAATACTTTTGGAGGGAAACATATTAAAAACCTGCGCATAGCAAAATCTCAACTTTTCCACAACCATCCTTTTTACCTATTAGTTTACAAAAGAGAAAGAGGAGATCTCGAGGACAAACCGCCGATTTGCGGAAACAACAAAGCCTTCCATTTGTTTTAATCTCTAAAAGCTGCCGAAACACCCTATGAATTCATCTTCTAGATGAAAAATTGTATACACCCTGCAATCTGGCATCTTTGATTTTTTTTCTCTTCAGCAATCAGTTTGCCCACTAAAAATGGTTTTGCCCGGGGACAATAGACGCAGTTAAAAACAACCTGTTGTAGTGGACGTCTCTAGGAGTTGAATACGGGACAGGTATTTAGTAAAACACCTGTTTGTTCTGGATACCAGGCTTTGTAGCATAGCGTTACGTCATTCATTACGTTTCAGGACCGAAACGTCACGGGTTTGATTCCCTCTCCGGGCGTATAAAGTTTGGCCGATGTGTAGCCATTTGAACCTCAACAGACCCTCATCCTGTAGAAAAAAACAGACCTCATAGTTACACATAACGGTGAGTTTTGGTGGTTAATCTTTACCTTACAGAAAAAAAAGACAAAAAGACTTTAAAAGCACAATATTTTTTCCCCACCTCCAACCTCTAAACAAAGATTGGTAACCCCGGCAACTACATAAAATCAATGTAAAGAGAGGGATTAATGGCGATTTTTTTAGTTTTGAGGACTGATAACCAGAAACTGAGATTCTGATAATCCGACAGCAAGAAGATCGCTTTGTATGGCGCTCGTCGTTAGGAAGTTTGAGGTTTTAGTTAATCCGTGGCCTTGAAAAAGTAATGTGGTTGTCTTTGCAAGGGATCTTTTTGTCTTTATTTGGAAAAAGGGAGAGAGAGATACACATACATGTGCACACACACACACACACACACACACACACACGCACACACACACACACACACACACAGACAAACACACACACACACACACACACAGACACAAAACACATATGCAAAGGAAAACATAATCCTCTATCAAAGCAGGAGAGGATTTGGCAGATGTACCGTATTTTGCCACGGCATCCAGTGTCGTCGCACATTGGGTCAGCTGCACGTCCTGAGTGCAAGTAATGAACACACGGTGAACTCCAGGGCATTTGGATGATACTCAACGGCTTAACTTTTTTGCTATCCCAGATAGAAAGGAAAATCAGTCGAAAACGTAAGGTATGCTGCCGTCCGAATTCACGGTGTCTGACTGACCGTCGATTAAAAAATGATGTTTGAAAATGACCCGAACGTGATGACTTGGCATGTGTTTCCAGACGAAACTTCGACCAATTTAGGTACATTAGACCATTGTGTGGTTGTTTGTCAGCTTAACATGCATATTTCTGGTAGTTGTGTCAAACGTCATATATGGCAAGGGACGGGTTGTCATCCCGGCTGTCTCCGACCAGGATCGCACACTCGACAAGGACAAGGATAAGGCTGATTTACTGAACAACATATTCGTCCAAACTACAAATGACAGCAACCATCCGGATTACATGCCGAGACTCCGGACGTACACAGATAAGTAAAGAACTTAGCTCCATACAGCTGACACCCGCGGAAGGATACAAGATCTGCGCACAAACAAGGCTCTAGGCCCAGATGGTATGTCAACCCGTCTACTTAAGGAAGCCGCTCTAGTCATAAGTGTATCTCTCGGTGAACTGTTTAATTCTAACTATCAACCGAACACTTTCCAACAGAGCGAAAATAGTGTAATGTCTCGCCAGTTTACAAAAAGAGAGACCGGGCGGGTCTAGGAAACTACAGGCCTATTGCCCTTCCGCAAACGGCGGGAAAGGCACTCAAGGGACTTGTGTACAACCGGTTATACAAGTATCTGACAGATAATGACTTAATGGACCCTAAGCAATCTGGCTTAGGGTCCATTAGAAAGAAAGACGACGGGACTGTTCTACTGCTACGTCTGATTCAACTGGTCTAAATCCATAGAAGATCCAAACATCGCCTGTACCGCTGCAGTATTTTTGGATGCAAGACGCGCCTTTGACACAGTTTGGCATGACGGACTTATTTACAAACTCACCCGATATGGAATCCGCGGTTCGCTGCTGGGCTGGTTCACTGATACCTGTCAGGGCGCCAACAAAGGGTGGCTATTAACAACAAGGTATGTGACTTGAGACGTTAGTACTAGTTGTTTTCGTACGGCCAGTGCCAAATCGGTAATTCTACAACGTTCTTATTACTCAAGAAGAAAAATTTGTGTCCCCGTCCGTGGCAAAACAAGGCAAAATAATCGACAACAGATAAACCTAGGCCATTCACGACGCCAGCCAGCAGAAGGCTGTCTAATGGACTATACCACACTACTTTGAAAAAGGGGTATTCTGTGTTTTGTATTGTGATTGTGACATTACCCATGTTTCCTTTTTTCTTGTAACGTTACTCTTTACATATCTGTTAAATGTAAAATTTCAGCAATCGTTTCATCATCGTGCGTTATATACATTGTATTTCCCGAGGGGTTGTAATATAAGATGCATTACGTCAATGATGACTAGACATCCAAGTATTACGATACTCCAAAAAGCAGTTACTGAAGCAACTGGATATGTTTTCGGAATATAAGATATCTTGTTTGTACATTTTACTGAACAGAAGGGTGCGCAAATCCTTTGGACACACGGAGTGATCACTTAAGCATCAGTATGGCAGAAGGAGGCAGTCGTCCATCGGGACAGGATCGTACGAATCAACTTAATATTCTAGCAATTAGCTCGTTATCTCGTGATCTCCAGACGGTGTATCTAGTCATCGCCCTAGTGGTGTCAGTGGGGTGCGGTCTGCTTCTGATCTTCTTGGTTTGGAAGAAAGAGTATCTACAGAAGCCCAGCCACTACCTACGGTGTAACCTGGCGGTAGACGACATCATTTTCACCGGCGGACTGATCCCCACCCAGATCTACAGATTTTTCCAGCAAGACGTCGAGAGCGAACAGCTACTGTGTTCGGCAAAAGCATTGCTGTTGGCCGCATGTCTGGTTTCTATGCTGGGTACGTACCTTATGATGGCGGTAGAACTGTACTATTGCATCTGCCATCCCCTACACTATCATAGCAAAGTCACAACAAAACGTGTGTTGTGTGCCATTTTGGCAAGTAGAGTCATTTCCATGATCTTGGGACTAGGACCTGTGGTGTTCAGCGGACTGCCCAATCTTAATGCCAACCTACAGTGTGAGCTCGAACCTGCAAACAGTGCCAGCGTAGCCGCCATCCTCAGAACCATCGTTCTGTTTGTTGCCGTCCTCGTTGGTTTCACCATACTCATACTCTACTACTTCGTCCTCAAGGAAGCCAGAAAACAACAAGCAAGGGATGAGAGTCGCAACATGTGGATATTCCAGACCA